CACAGCCTCTAACCTCACACCCAGAGAACACAGCCTCTAACCTCACACCCAGAGAACACAGCCTCTAACCTCACACCTCAGAGAGTAACAGCCTCAAACCTCACACCCCACAGAACACAGCCCCTAACCTCACACCCCAGAGAGCACAGCCCCTAACCTCACACCCCAGAGAATACAGCCTCTAACCTCACACCCCAGAGAACACAGCCTCTAACCTCACACCTCAGGGGAACACAGCCCCCAAATGACCAAGATGGCCAAGATTTCATATGTCAATTATTTGGGGGCCCCCACTAAAACTGCTGCTTGGAATTGTAAAGCATGAAAAATTAATAGGGTGGGAATTGATTGGTTAGTTTATGGGGTGGGGTGCCATGGAGTGGGGGTTCATGGGGTCGTGGGTTAATGGGATGGGACTTTGTGGGGAGATAAATTAATAAGTGGAAGTTTATGGTTGGCTCATAGGGTGGGGTGTCCCTGGGTAGGGGATTAATGGCATCGGAGTTTATTTGGTGAGGAATCAATAGGGTAGGTATTTATGGGTTGATTTATAGGGTGTGGTTGGGGGTTAATGGGATGAGGGTCTATGGGGTGAGGAATCAATTGGGTAGGAGTTTAGGGGTTGGTTCATGGGGTGAGAGACTTATGGGGTCGGGTTAACGGGATCACAATGGCTGCGACCTGAGGAGGCAGGTGTGCGGTGCTTTTACCAATGTTTCCAGTCATCAAGTCATAGTCGTAGGCCTGCACTGTGTACCCCAGACTGTCCACGTGGTAGAAGGTACGGTGGTCCATGGACCAGTCCAGCCCATTGGAGATGCCCAGTCCGTCCAGGTGCCGCATCACCGAGCCGTCTGCGTAGAGAGTGTACACGGAGCCCTGGCCATGGCTCCACACACCCGGGCTTGATGGTTCAGGCATGGTACCTGGGATAGACATACGAGCAATCAGTAAGCCTCCTCTACTCTGTGATTTCCAGGAGCACCCCTCATTCCAGCCTAAGACCAGTCATAGCCCCTTGGCAGGAAGTGAGAGGTGGTTGTGTTCAGGGGAGCCCCAGGAGGACCTCAGTGGCAGGCAGGTGTCTGATTTTGTGGGGCCAGCACACAAAAGACTATCAACTGGGGGGCTTCTGACAACAGAGATCTGTCTTTTCAGGGTCCTAAAGGCAAGAAGTCCAAACAAAGATGGCGGCAGGGACTCCCTTCCCCCAGTGGCTCTGGGGGCAGACCCTTCCTTGGTTCACTCAGCTTCGGGTGGACTGAGGCAATCCTTAGCTTGTCGATACAGCCTCATGTGGCCCTCTTCCCTCTGTCACTTGGGTCTCTTCTGTTTTAGAGTAGGATTAGGGTCCCTGGTGGTGCCCTAGGGCAAGTGTTGGCCTAAGCTCAAGGTGATGGCTCAAACTCATCAGTTGGTCTGCCGCAGACAGAGGGGACTGTGTTCTTCCGTAATGAAGGGCAGTCTGGGACCCTAGAGAGCCTCTTCCACCTTGTCCTGTAGAGCACTTACGGGCTGGAACCCACTGACTCAGTGCGTTTGCTGAGTCATCATATAGGATTAGGAGCACTGATGGTTACAGTGGGTTACACATTGGGCTGCTAACCGCAAGGTCAGCAGTTCAAATTCACCAGCCGCGTTCTGGGAGAAAGATGAAGCTTTCTGCTTTTGTGATGATTTATAGCCTTGGAAACCCCATACAGGGTCACTAGGGTTCAGAACTGAGTCGATGGCCCACAGCAGCAATATATAGGACTAGGACACACCTTACACTACTGAAACCTTATATTAACTCAACTGATAGCATCTGCAATGATCCTGTTTCCAAACACAGCCAGTTTCTCAGGTAGAACTCCAATATCTTTTTAGTGGGAGGGACAGAATTTCAACAGCTGGGAATTGTGAACTTAGATGGTGGAGTGGGTTGAATGTTGTTGTTGTTGTTGTTAAGTGTCCACGAGTCAGTTCTGACTCTGAGTGACCTTTTGTGTAACAGAACAAACACAGCCTGGTGCAGCCACTGTGTCAAGCCAGCTCATTGATGGACGATTTCACGGACCCTCTACGTTACTAAACATGACAGCCTTCTCCAGGTCTGGTCTCTCTTGAGAACATGTCCTGAGTACTAGAGATGAAGTCTCACCCGCCTCACTTTTGAAGCGCATTCTGGCTGAATGTCTTACAGGACAGATTTCTTTGGTCTTCTGGCAGTCCATGGTAAATTCCATGTTGCTTACCAGCACCATAATTCAAATGCTTCAATTCTTCTTTGGTCTTCCTTATTCCTTATTCACTGTCCAGCGAGGTGAATGTGGTTGCTAGGATCCATCAAGTTGGTTCTGACTCATGGAGAACGTGCAGCAGAAGGAAGCTCTGTCCGGTCCTGCACTGCTCTTACCATCCTGCTAGGCTTGAACCCATCTTTGTAGCCCCTACATCAGTCTGAGGGTCTTCCTTTATTTACTGACCCTCTACTTTACTAAGCACGATGTCCTTCTCCAGGGTCTGATCCCCTCTGATAACATGTCTACAGCGAGTAGGACGCTGTTCTTGTTAGGTGCTATTGAGTCGGTTTGATACATAGCAACGCTATGCACAACAGAACGAAATATTGTCCAGTCCTGCGACATCCTCACAGCTGTTGTTACGTTTGAGCCCACTGTAACATTTGGGCTGCCACTGTGCCATTCCTTCTTGTCGGGGGTCTTCTTCTTTTCCATGGACCCTCCACTTTACCAAGCGTGATGTCTCTATCCAGGGACTGGTCCCTCCTAATGATAAGTCCAAAATGTGAGACATGAAGTCTCGTCATCCTGTCTTCTAAGAAATATTCTGGCTGTACTTCTTTCAACACAGATTTGTTTGTTCTTCTGACAGTCCATGGTACTTTCAATATTCATTCCACCACAACTCAAATGCATCAAAGGCATTCTCCAAGTTCTAACCCTGGTAACGGTGCATGTGACCTTACTTAGTAAACGTCTTTGCAGATGAAATCAATGAAAAGATCTCGAGGTAAAGTCATCTTGGACTACAGTGGACCCTAAATCCAATGGCAAGACACTGATTGGAGGGTGATTTGAGAGAGACACAGAGAAGATGGAGGCAGAGACTGGAGTGATGTGGCCAAGGAGTTGGAGAGAACGCCACGGGTGCATTCTTCCTTGGAGCTCCCAGGAGCCAAGTGTGTCCACACCTTTATTTTGGGACCTCTCTAGGTCTGTAAGAAAGCCAGTTCCTGTTGTCTGATGTCCCCAGTGTGTGATGCGGTGTCATGACACCCCTAGGAATCTGAAAGAGATGAGACTGGTCCACCATACCCACTCCTTCCCTAGATGACGAGTTTGTTCCCTGTGTCTAGACTGTAAACAACATGGTTCTGACATCTGCTGTCTTCCCAGGAGACTAGGATTTTGGTAGGTGCCAGGCAGGGGTGGCTTTGGCCAGCCTCCAAGAAAAACTTCTAGATGGTCCTGACTTCTAACTCTGGGTGCCCCCAGGAAAGAGGTCAGGCCACCCTGAGAACCCAGTGGACAAGTGTGGCCTTCCCAGTAAGTGCCAGATGCCTGGGGAGGGGGCCCTCAGGGACTACCATGTGCTGACAGATCGGGTGTCCTGTTGACTTGATGCGCCCCTCTCTCTGCCCTCTTTCCTGGTGCCTGAATGACCACTGCTCCCTGACCTTTCCTCTGACACCACCCACCACCTCAGCTCACCTGCCACAAACCGCCCGGCGGGGTCCACTTTGCCGTCATTGAACCTGTTGTTTGGTTTGTCCCTGTCCACCTGGGCCAACCACTGCACCTGTCCTGTGGGCCAGTCCAGAAGGCCAAGGGATGTGCCGACAGCCACCACATAGCTTCCACTCCGGTGAAGAGCCATGCAGCCCACACGGTCTCCTAGGGGCAGGACCAGGGATGACCACGCAGCTACACCTGCCGCTCGGCTCCCACCCTCCACCAGGTTGGAACATGGTCATCGTGTGGCCCTGGAGACCCCTCCCCTTCCACAGACTGGTGTAGACTGCTGAACCAGGATGGCCTGACTGGTCTCCATGAAGCCCAGGGGTCACTCCTGAGCTCTGGCTTCTCTGTACCCCCTTGGGGATCTCCAGGCACCCCAAGTATCCCCCAGGGTGGGCACTGCAGCCTGCCTGCTGGGTGCGGTCCATACAAAGACAGAGGAGACACTCACGGTCGTCATCACCTGTGAGTCCAGGTAAAGGACAGTAGTGCTCTCCCAGATCCTGAGCTGCCAGGCAGTCTGCCCGGGCCAAGACCAACTGTCCACTTGTCAGCGGCCCCCGAGGTCATCCCCCAGCCCTAGTGCCCTTCCATAGGAACCGTGTTCTCTGTCTCCAGAGGTGGCTGTGAGGGAGAGTGGGGAGACACTCAAAGTTACAGTACCTGGTAGGTGGACAGCATGAGACCCACATCGCTGTGTGAACTTCATGCAGATGTGTGAGTCCTACAGAGAGCTATGTGAGTTCCATGCAGGTGTGTGAGTCCTACAGAGCTGTGTGAGGCCATTACAGGTGAGTGAGCCACACACAGATTCATGAGTCCTGTACAGATGATTGAACTTTATAGAGATAAGTGAATTCCATATAGCTGTGTGAGCCCTTTACAGATATGTGCGCCTCATGCAGGTGTGTGTGCCCCATGTAGGTGTGTGAGCCCCACACAGGTGTGTGAGCCCCACACAGGTATGTGAGCCCCGTACAGGTGTGTGAGCCCTATACAAGTGGATTGTTTTATATAGATGAGCTTCATGAAGGTGTGTGATCTTCCCATACAAATGAATGAGCTCCACACACGTGTGCGTGCCTCAGGCAGGTAAGTGTGTTCCTCGCAGAACCATTTGTCTTGATTGTACTGTGCCCCAGACTGTGCCTCACACACCGGGGTGATGAAAGGCGAACACTCAGATGTCTGTCAGTCACAAAAGGCATCCATAAGGCAGAATCAGGAGTAAGGCCCACCTGTCAGCTTCAGGTGTGAGGTGCAAGTGTGAGAGTTAGGTGTGAGATTTAGGTGTGAGGCTCAGATGTGGTACTCAGTTGTGAGGTGCAGGAGTGAGGCTCAGGTGTGAGGCTTATGTGAGAGACGCACGTTTGAAACTCAGGTGTAAGGCTTAGGTGTGAAGTTCAGGTGTGAGACTCTGCTGTGAGGATCAGAGACACAGCACTTGTACTTATTCCTGTGTGAGAAACGAATCTGCCAGCACTGATTGTTGGTGTGAGTCTGACACTCATGGTCTGCGTATACACTCAGATGCTGTTTGACCCTGGTGGCCAGCTGCATAGCTGCTGACCACCCTGGTGCCTCCAGGCAAACCTCAGTGCTCTCCTTCTGCAGGCTGCTGCCTCACCCACTGCTGGCCAAACAACCATCCCAGAGCCATGGCGGCCAGCGCTGGGCATCATGTACAAACAGCCCTGGCCAGCTGACCCTCCCCAGGGATCAGAGGGACGGAGCGATCTCTTCGTCTGCACCCCTCCCTCAAAGCCTCTGCATGCAGCTTACTCAGGCCCACGGTCTGCACAGCGTTGCTGAGCGGATCCCACCGGCACACGCTCTGCGCATTGATATCCACGTACATGAGCTGTCCCGTCTCTTCCTCCCACACTGGGCATTCTGCCATCCGGTACTTCTTCCTAACCACAGCCTCGATCTTCGGGGACATCATGCCTGGGAAGGCGGATAGGGCCGTCAGCACCTCGAAGGGGTACACGCAGGAGTTACAGGGAACTGTAGGAGTCTATAAGGAGCTCTGGTAGCGTAGCGGTTACGAATCAGGCTGTGAAACTCAAGGTCAGCAGTTCAAAACTACCAGCTGCTCTGCGGGAGAAAGATGAGGCTTTCTGCTCCCGTATCCCGTAAAGATTTATAGCCTCGGAAACCCTGTACAGGGTCGTTATGAGTAGGAACCGACTCCATGGTACATAACAACAACAACAACTATATATATATACATTGTTGTTGTTAAGTGCCGTCAAGTTGGTTCCGACTTATAGTGACTGTGTGTAGGGTTTCCAATGCTGTAAATCTCTATGGGAGCAGAAAATCTCATCTTTCTCCTGAGGAGTGGTTGGTGGACTTGATCCACCCACTTTGTGGTTAGCACTTCAGTCCTTATTCTACAGAGCTGCAGCGCTCCCATGCATATACATGCACCATATGTATACAGTGTATATGTCAGCTAAGTGTTGGTAAGTATTGTCGAGTTGTTTGCAACTCATAGCGATCCTATATAAGGTTTCCAAAGCTTTACAACTTCATGGTAGCAGGAAGCCTCATCTTACTTCTGAGGAGTGGCAGGTGGGCTCGAACCACAGATACTGTGGATCAACCTCCAGTGTTTATTGTAAGGCATCATTGTGCTCCCTGTGTATGCTATAGATGCACTATCAGAACCTCAAGGTCAGCGGTTCAAGCTCACCAGTTGTTCCTCGGCAACCTTATACAGACAGGGTCGCTGAGGGTCAGAACCGACTTGACGGCAGTAAACAACAACAATAACAATACATTGTCTATACACTATACGCACAACAAAGGGGCTTCACAAAGTTCATGGGAAAAAACTGCACTATCTTTCCACAAATGTTTGAAACCTCTTAAGTATGCACTATCTATGAGCTATGTTCATAGACTACATGAACATACACAGCATCTGCTTATGGTATGCATACACACAGTCCATATGTCCACACGGTGTGTTATTGTTGTTGGTTGTCATGGAATCAACTGTGCGTCATGGCAACCCCATGTATACAGAGTAGAAGTACACTGGATGGAATTTTCAAAGCTGCAACTACTTGGAAACAGTGTCCAGTCTGTTTTTCAGGCTGCATCCACGTGGCTACAAAGTGTCAGCCTCTCTGTTAGCATTAGTGGACATTCAGGTAGGGTCTCACAAGGGCACCTATACACATCACATGCATGCTATATATCATCTTAGTGTGGTGCTGTGGGATAAGGCACTGGATCGCATGGTTGGTTTTAATTACAAGGTCGGTGGTTCAAGGTCCCCATCGGCTCCTCGGAAACCTTATATAGGGTCACTATGGGTTGAAAACAACTCAACGGCATAACAACAGCAACATATACACACACTGTGTACAATTTATAGATACATCTGCACCACTGTATATACTCTCTCTGTATATATTTATACACATATATATTCATATACACACTTTAACTAATAATAGAGATGTATTTAACTAGCACATCTCTATTACATTTACACCACTATACACACACACACACACACACACACACACACACACACAGTGGTAGCGTACTGGTTACGAATCAGTCTGTGAACCTTAAGGTCAGCAGTTCGAAACTACCAGCTGTTCCGCAGGAGAAAGATGAGGCTTTCTGCTCGCATAAACATTTACAGCCTCAGAAACCTTGTACAGGGTCGCTATGAGTCAGAACCGACTCCAAGGCACATAACCACCAGCAGCAGCTAATACAGCTCTATTACAGCCACACCACTAAATATACATATATATACACTGTATCTAATACATCTCTATTACATCTACATACACATACATACATATATATACATATATATACTGTATCTATTATATCTCTATAACATCTACACACACACACACACACACACACACACACACACACATATATATATATATATACTGTACCTAATACATCTCTATTACACTACATACACATACATATATATATACACTGTATCTATTACATCTCTATACACATACATACATATACACTGTATCTAATACATCTCTATTACATCTACATACACACACATACATATATATACATATATATATACTGTATCTATTATATCTCTATAACATCTACATACATACATATATACTGTATCTATTATATCTCTATTACATCTACACACACACACACACACACACATATATATATATATATATACTGTACCTAATACATCTCTATTACATCTACATACACATACATATACATATACACTGTATCTATTACATCTCTATACACATACATACATATACATACATATATACTGTATCTATTATATCTCTATAACGTCTACATACACATACATATACACATATATATACTGTACCTAATACATCTCTATTGCATCTACATACACACACACACACATATATATATATTATATATATTACATCTCTATTACATCTACACCACAATATATATATACACACACTATATCTAATACATCTTTATTATAGCCATATCTCTCTCTGTCTCTCTCTCTCTCTCTCTATATATATATATATACATATATATATTTACACAATG